AAATGCACTATGACTTCTTCTTGACAAACATAAAGAATCTTACTGAAATAAAGATGTATGATTTAACAGAATATGAAGGTTAACGATGTCAGATGTAAGAAAGGCAAACCAAAAAAGAGACCATATAGAGATGAAAGCACACTGACAAATGACCAGAAAGCCATTTTGGAAGCTCTTAAGCAAACAGGAAACCCAGCACTTATAGAAAGCTTTTGGAAAGATAATGGTGAAAAGAAGTTTTATAAGAAAGAAGAGCGTCAGTTCTGGAAGTATCTTGCACATTACCTATAAATCTTGAACGCTACCAAATCTTCAATGAACTGAACAAAAGAACTGCAACACTTATGACAGAAGACAATTGTTTCGTTTATGCTTGCATTCAGGCTGGAGTAAATGAAGAAACTATTGACCACATGAGAGAAGTCATTCGTGTTAGAGACTTTCCTCAAGTAAAGTACAAGAAATTTCTGACGCAACAGTTAGCATTTAATGTTACCATTGGTTACTTCAATGACTCAAGATATAATGAAATAAAGAGATACATACCAAAAGAATGTGAAACTGTTCGAACTATTGACCTACTTCTTGTTGAAGACCACTACATGCTAAACGAAAGACTTCCAATGACAACATACTTCGTCAGAAATTACAAAGAAATCTTGAAGGAGTGTGGTGGAATGAACATTGAGAAACAGATGAAAATATATACAAAGAGAGAGAACAAATATGTAGTTCGTTATGATAGAACTACACCTATGGGATGTTATGAAAACATTGTGGGAGTGCAAATATTTCGAACCTATTTCTTATGGAGAACTTTTCACATATACGACTGACTTATATAAACAGAACCTTGCACCATTTAAAGATTTGACATATGCTCCAAAGTATTGTGTACAACTGAAGAAGAAAGCAGAGTCAAAAGAAGTAAATAAAAATAAGTGCAAGTTCATTCCTGAGCACGTTTTCTTTGCTGACTTTGAGTGTAGTACCGATGGCTTTCATAAAGCTTTTAACATATGTTACGACAGTGAAGATGGTTCAGTGAGTGAAAGCATTTGGGGTCAGAACTGTGCAACAGAATTTTTGGAACGACTTCCTGACAAGAGTTTAATATATTCCATAACCTCAGCTATGATATAAATTCATCTTAAGACACATGACAGAAGTGAAAGGAACTCCCATCATTAAAGGTTCACGAACAATGCAAATAACTGGCTTATATAAAGGAAGGGCAATTATTATAAAAGACTCTTACAGTGTGTATAAATAAGAAGCTTAAACTATTTCCTGCTATGTTTAACTTACAAACAGGACCGAAAGAAGTATTTCCATATAACTACTACAGCAGTACTTTGTTAGCAAATGACAACAGAACTGGTGTCATTTCTGAAGCATGTAAGTTTATCCAGGATGCAGATACATTTATGAAAAACATAGATTCCATCAAAGGTTGCAGAATAGATGAAAACCACTTCGACTTAGAAAAATATGCACATTTTATTGCAAACAAGATGTAAGAATTTTAAGAGAAGGTTTTGTAAAGTTCCGCAATGACTTATTGAAAGAGTTTGATTTAAACGTTTATGACTACGTTAGTATTTGTTCAATTGCTAACAAATTATTTGAGAACAGAGTGTACTTCCCGAATGGAAATTTATATGACCTCTCAAATAAACCAAGAGAATTTATTTCGAGATGCATTCAAGGTGGAAGATGTATGTTGTCAGATAACATTGAAACAAAGAGCAAAAAGAAACTCATTGCTGACTTCGACGCTGTTCATTATATCCATCAGCTATAGCAAGACTTTATACTTTAGAAGGAATTCCAAAAGTATGAAGGATGAGATGTTAAGCACAGAGTATCTCATGAGACATTTATTCGATGACGACCAAAAGGAACCCATTGGTGAAAAGTTTATGTCTGGCTTCTTTGTTCTCATTAAGATAACAGAGATTGGAATACATAGACCTTTCCTTTAATAGTTTGTGACCTGAACTAAATCCAGAACTTAACGTTCCCAGAAGTTCAAACACTTGCTGTTTAATGTATGTTGACCATATAACATTACAAGACCTCATAAAATATCAAGGTGTCAATGTGATGTGTTGCAAGGATACTATTACGATGGAAACAGAGATATTAGAATAAGAGATGAAGTAAAGAAGTTGTTTGAGTTAAGGTTAAAGTATAAGAAAGAAGGAAATCCTTTGCAAGAAAATATAAAGCTCATTCTGAACAGTATTTATGGCAAAACTATTCTATCTCCTATTGAGTCAAAAATAACCATAGTAAATGACAAAAGATGCTATAAGATATGCCATCAGAAACTACAACCATATAGTGAAGTTCGAAGGTTTGGATGGTTCAGATAAAACTATTTTCAAGCTAACGAAAAGCATTTGCAGACACTTTAACTTCTGTCCACTTGGTGTAAATATTCTATCAATGTCGAAGAGAATAATGTGTGAAGTATTCTGTACTGCTGAAGGACTTAGGAATGGACATCTTTTATAGCGATACGGACAGTATGCATCTCTACAATGAAGATATCCCTCGTTTAGCTGAAGAGTTTTGAGAAACGTTATGGAAGAGTTCTCATTGGTAAAAACCTTGGTCAGTTTCATAGTGACTTCGCAGAAATAACACCTGGAAAACAAAGTTTAGCATACAAGTCAATATTTTGTGGAAAGAAGACCTACATAGACTTACTCACTAACGATTTAAATGAAGTTGCATTTCACTGCAGAATGAAAGGCGTGAAGCAAGATGTTATTGCTTTAACCGCTAATGAAATGTTTCCTGACTCTGTTCAGTGTTTCTATGATGAAGATAAAGGTTAATGGTTCCGCAAGGAAAATTTGACAAAGACTCTGAGTTCAGTGTTATGAAGTTATATAAAGCACTTTATGACGGTCAAGAGATTTGGATTTGACTTATGTAAGTCTTCTAGTCCTTGCTTTGCTGAAAAGTTTAACTTCTCAATAACGACTAAAACAAGCTTTATTCGTAAGTTGAAGTTCTGAGGTCATTATTTTTGTCAGCAATGAGGTCATGAATGAGGTCATTTATTTTTGTCAGAAATGAGGTCATTCGTGATAAAAATAAAGCTAGCGTAGATTTTACAATACTGCGATGGTAGAGTTTAAGAGTTGTGCTTCAATGTAGAGACAGTCCTTATGGTCTGGAGGTAAGAACACTGGGCAGTTATGGTCATGAGTGGAGAACATGTCTATCCAAAACTCACGATTGAAGCCAGTTAATTTATAGTAATTTAGGGTTAGGAAGTGGTGAAGTTCTTGTATGACCAATGAACTCATTTCAACTCCCTTACTTAAGTTTGAATATAATATAGTTGCTTTCTATCCCAAATGCCGGTGTTACAATCTTTGAAAATTCATTTTTTCCTCGGAAGCATTGCATCATAATTTGAAAAACATTCTTGAAATCATCACTTGGTTCAGAGATTTGAAATCTTATACGTAATGGATTTTCTTTCTCTTAGCTACTTCATTGAATGGTGAATATATAACAAACTGACAATCATGTGTTCCATCTTCATTTTCATTAAATTCATAATGAAAGTCTATAAGTTGTGGCTGACTACCTTCTTCTTTCAGTTGTGCAAAAAACTCACGTAAAGGCTGTAAAGTTTGTACTTCAATGTTGAACTTTTTCTCGAACATTTCATTGAAGGAAATCATACATTCTTGTAAAGTTGTATCGTCTTTAAAGTATTTGTATATGTGAATGTTTTGGCGCTTAAAGACTGTTCGTCATTTTCTATCTCGACTTGAAGTATAAAGTCCTTTCTAAATGCACGTGTTATATACATAGATGTTATGCCAATGTACTTCTCTTCATTTATGTTCACAATCCAGTCTGTTGGAAACTTAAACGTTACTCTGTTCCCCTTTATTTTGACGTCAGGGTTTTCACTACTGAACGCAACAGATAAAGGTATTTGTCTATACATTTAATTCGGATAAAAATAAACCATTTACTCTTTCTTTGCTTCAGCTTCTTTAGCTTTTGCTTCAGCTTCTTCTCTAGCTTTCTTCGCCAGCAAACGTGGGTTCTTTTGTCTTCCAGCAGCTAATGCAGCAAGTTGTTTTTCACTAAGTTTTCTCTTTGGTCTCTCTGGCTTTTGTTCTTGTTTTTGTTCCTTCAGTTCGGATAAAATTTGCTCGCGAATTTCTTTCTTCAATGCTTCAACATCTATGACCCCTTGGGTCTTGTCCGTAGGGCTTGTCTGAGTCATTTGACTGCAGATAAAAAACAAAATTAAAACTTTAACCGATGTAAAATGAGCTTGTCAAAATCAGAGCGAGAGTCTATTATATTAAATGACGCAAGAGGAATACAACATCCTTTCTATTATGTAAGTCAGAGTAAAGATGGTAAAATATACGTAAGAAAAAGAAAGGTTCCATTAGCGAATGCAGAGAGCGACAACATTAAGGTGTATGGCAAGGGTGAAGCACGAAGCCATATAAAACCTTCTGTTCAAACTGAAAAGTCAATAGAACAGAAGAAAAGAAGCCAGATGTACTTTCAATAACGAACCAAGAGCTTATTGCAAAGTTCGTGAATTTCATTGAAAAACAAACCGAGTCAAAGAACCCTGACCCACCAGTGAAAGAAGTTGAGACAAAAGAGAATGTACAGTTCATTGAAAATGTCAAGAAACAACTTCCACCACGAATGCCAAGAAGAAGAGTGAGAATAATGAAGTAAATAGATATTTTTATCGAAGTAAATACATGCAGAACGAACAGTTAAACGAATTTACTCCAGCAGAGCATATTCATCAGATTCGCTCATATTTCGATATCATAGACAATGCAGTTCAAATTGGTGACACTAATAGAAAATATTCTGACGCAAAGATTCCATCACAACCTGGAACTGCTAAAGATAACACATGGGTAACATTCAATCTCTCACCTCCTGGTGAAAATATGTTGGACCTTTACAATACATTCATTACGTATAAAATGGAAGGTCAATTTATTGCAGATAAAGAAATTGGTTCAGGTTCCAATAAAACAAACCCACCAGGATTTTGGATTGGTTTCGATGACGCTTTCTATGCAGTTGCTGGATATCAAATCCTTGCAAATGGTCGTATCGTATATTCTCAAGACAACGCAAGAGAAGAAGCATATATAACTTCAAACTCACAAACTACCGAACAAATAAAGAAAGTAGATGTTTTCTCAAAGACTCGACATGAAGATGTATGGAGTCATTCGGGAACATGCAGAACAGGACAAATTGTTAGTGGTCCAATTACAGCAGGAAAATCATTTGATTTTAAGCTTCGTTTAAGAATTCCTGTTAGAAAGTTTTTACCATTAGAAGCTATAAGATTTATTCCTGCATTTGCTGGTAACATTCAGCTTAAAGTAAAGTTCAGTAGCGACGCATTACAATGCACATCTATATCTGTAAATGATATCATTGCTTTCAATCCAACTCTTAAAGTTGCATTTGCTTCAGATTCAAATCCACCGACAAATAAATTTGTTCCATGGAATGAACCATTCACTATGATAACGAAGGCAGTAGAAGCTAGTGGAACAGTTACTATTACAACTGTAACCCAGCAACTATTTCGAACAAAGATGGATTTTAATGAATGTTTCATTCATCCAAAGTCATTCTCTTTAGACCCTAACATTTATACAGAACTTGTAGAACATTATACAAACGAGGCTTTATGTTTTCCTGTTAAAGTTATGGATTGGATTCCTATGGACGGTTCATTCTCAAAGAATACAGATAGTTCAAGTGCAACATTTACAGCAGCTTATACGCCTATTAATGTTAAAAGTATTTGGGCACTATTTAGAAAGAAAGACAACTATTATGTTAATTTTGAGAACCCTAAGTTTAAATATCTTCAGCTTTCCATGGGAGCTTATGGAAATATGCCTGCAGAACCTGAAAAATCATATGGACCTGTATTTTATGAAATGGTTGCGAACGCTTGCAATACAAACAATGATATGATTGGATTTAATGAAGATGTTATGAGGTCATTGGTGGATGATGGTAGTGTGGAACATAAATGGGATAGCTATGACAACACACATTTCTTATGTGGTTTTCCAACAGAAGTGGACTTTTGCTTCCAGCAAGGTCAAACATCTACTGCTCCAATAACATACAAATTGTCTGTTAAAGGACCTATTGAACTAGCAACTGAAAACGTACCAAAGCCACTTATTGGATTTATGAGGGATTGTTGCTTTGCAATACAAGTAAGACAGTCAGGCATACCAATAATAAGACTTGACGACTATAACTTAGCAACTGACGACAGTGAGGAATAAAGGATGAACGTTTATTTTAAAGCTTATAAATGAGTTCTTCATCAAGCTCTCGTGAACCTTCACCATCTATGAAACAAACTTTACCAAACGATTATGGAGCACCTATTGAATATTTCTTACGAGCTGCACAATGGCAAAGAGCAGTCTCACCAAGGTTAGGTGTTCCACCAGCTCCTGTCAAAAATAGCATTTGGTCAAGTCCTTATATAAATATGGTCTCCCACTAGGTTTGCTAGCTACAGCAGGAGCAGTAATGATGTTGAAAAGAAATAAAGCAAATGTTGTAAATAATACTGAAGTAGCTGAAGTTAAACAAACTCCGACACCATCGCCAAAACCAACGCCTTCACAAACAACACCTTCAATGACTCCTGAACCTATGGAATACAAACTCCTGTTCAAAAGTCAACTCCTAAACCGACTCCAACATTTAAACCAGAACCTACACCACAAATAAATCGTAAAACTCCTGCGTTTCCTTACTGAAAAAATAACGTTATTTTTATTTAATATTAAAATTTTTATTTGATTGAAATGACGACTAAAGTCACTGAAGCAATGAAACAAAAGTTTTTGGTAGAATACATTAAATCAGGAACTATTCCAGAAGGTTTTTACATTCATACTATGAAGGATGGTAGAGTTCAGTTTAGAAAGATAAAGCAACCATTAGATAAAGAAGGAATTTTGAGAAAGATTAAACTTCATGAGGACAACATTGCTGAACTTAAGAAGAAGTTAGAAGAGTTGGATAAAGGAAGAGAGTTATAAAGCAATGAATTCAACAGGGTAGAAATGAGGTTAGAAATCGGGTTAGAAATCGGGTTAGATCTCACCACTTCACCTAAATTTATTTTTGTGCTATGTTTTCATACGTGTGAGGGTGGTGATATCATTTATTTTTTATTTTATTTTTTAAAATTATTTTTATTTTATTTGGATGTAATGACAGAACAAAAGCAACTCATACAAATCAAAACATATAACAAACATACATTTAAACATTTATTCTTCCTTCCTGAGCATAACATGTTCTTTCAAATACATCCGAGACCAGTTGACTTTTCATTGACTGTTTATAAAGATAGAAATAGTTATATCATTAAACCATACGATGACGAAGGTAAGTTATGTAAATTGTACGTTAAGAAGTTAGAGAAAGTTTATGGCTTCAAGTATGACTACAATAGGGTTAACACTGATGATGAAGATATTGAGGAAAATTTATGAGAACATTAGTGAAGTTGTTAGTGAGAACGATAGTGAGGTGAAATTGTTGGCGGCTTTGTAAATATTTAAGGTTAAGTTAGTTTTTGCGTTCATGTTGTAAAATATACGTTAACGGTTTTGTAAAGTGTCAAATTCACAAGTATTGGGTATGGTGGAACGCAGTGCCACCATACCCAAGACTTGTATACTAACTCAAATATCTGTCAAAGACTTTGCAGGTGAAGTTGGAAACCAAAATCCAGGAGCCGCAGGTGCAAGAACAGATATTGCGTTAACAACTGCAATGAAACATGCAGATACTATGTTTGTACTGTTCAGACGAACTATAAATGACTATTCTTGTTTCTACAACCCTGGTATTAAATATCATATAAACATAGATGGCAAATATTATCCAAGAGAAGAATATTCTACAGTTGAGGATATGAGGTCATACAACTTGACATTAGATGCTATGAACTTTAACAACAACTTCACAACAACCATTAACCCTGAAATGCAAAGTTCTATTATGCCATATGTGAAAGTATGGACTCATACAGGAGGTCAAAAAACTCAATATACAAATGGAGACCGTTCAAACTTTTGGCTTGGCATTCCATTTGCTGACTCAGAAGACTTTATGGGTGGTATTTCAACTGTTGGTACAGTTCAAATACAATATACTGGTGACAGAGACGGTCCAGATGAATTGAGAGCAAAGAAGTTTACAAAACCAATAGCACTTTTCACGGAAGATGCTCTTTTGAAGATTCGTTCGATGAAACCTGCTGGGGCTCCTCAGATTGGCATAACGACAGCTTCCATCGAGCAGATTTTGGCAGCAGGTCAGTAAGTTGTTCTTGAACTGACTTCTCTCCGTCAAATATTGATAGTACGCCAGTTTTGACATAATATTGTATTATAAACTTTCCTTTAGTAATATCGGTCAGTTTTGAAGTTATATTTTTGTCTGCTTCAAGAACTTTCACCATTTCAGTTATACCAACTTTCTTTGCTTTATGAAAATATTTAGGTTCAGCAAAGACTGCTATTCTATAACATTTTCCATTGTTTGTGTAAAGAACTATTTTGTCAATGTATTTGTATTGTTTGTGAGTATAAACTTTGTTCTGCTTCAATTCAATAAGATATCCGAATACGTCCATCTTTTTATTCTAAGTAAAATGTCATTTCCGAAAAATAGAAGCGTAAGTGTTTCAAAAGGTTTAATGGCAGTGGCAGATGTGAAGTTAAATTCACCAACTCAAACAAACAGTCAAAGTGTTGTTGTCAATGTCAAAGACAGAGATGTTGAAGTGGGGAAACCATACGAAGACGAAGATGGTATAACAATTGTTCCTGTAAAAGAACCAACATATCCTGAAGTTAACAGAGACTTAAGTTCTGTTGCAGATATTCGAAACGACTACCAACAACTGAAAGACAAACTTCAAACTCAGGAGAATATTTGTCAAGCTTTAAGTATAATGTTAAATTTGGTCGAACACAACCCTGTAAAAGTGAACTCATATGTCATTGCACCTCATGAAGTTTTGAAAGAACTATTGAAACTTTTGACAGAGGCAGACGATATAAACATCAAAGAAATAGAACTCAACATTAGTTGCTGTGGTGTTTCATATAATGTCATTGACAAGATATACGTTATGAAAGGAGGTGAAACGTTGAACTTAAAATATAGTTTCCCAGACGTTATAAAAATATTTGACGACCACAACATTTCATTAAAATTTATTTGCTAAGTAAATGGCAGAAGACATAATGGTTTATACAATTACGACTAAAAACCCTGAGTCATATAATTCTATAACAACAAACTTACAAAGTCCTCAAGGACGATATTGTAAACTAACCTTAAACACAATGACGACTAAAGCCTGTTTTGCTCTTTTGACACCAGAAGACTTTATTGTTGTGAATGGTAAAAAATACTCCTTTGAAGATACTTACTCAGATATACCACCAACAGGTTTTGTTGACTTATTTAATACTTTAAGTACGGGTGTAACATGTGCTGCAACTAGAGCAGGTTTCATTATGTTTGGATGTCCGACTGAGTTTACTATAAACGATATGAGCTATAATACAAAACTTATTTCTGGTTTTTACTACCAACAGTTTCCTATAACAGGAAAAGGTGTCATACAAGGAATGTCTATTCCATTGACATTAAGCACACCAATCTTATATATTGTTTCAAACTTAGGTTCAAAGTGTTATTCGAATGTCGACAGAAACTATTATGACCAAAAGATACTTATGCGTTTAAACAATACTTTCTCTGCTGGTTTGCCTATTGTTCATTCGAATGCAGAATTTTCAACCTTAGTGAACTCAAACACTTTGGCAAGTATAACGTTGACATTAGTTGACGCAAACTTTGTTCCTGTAAAACTTTTATGTCCTATGTATTTGTCAATGACGGCAGAAAGTTTCGAATTGGAAGATGCAACTGGTGAAAGTATTGTATTACAAGAACAACTTCAACAACAAATAGCTCAAGAACAACAAATGCAACAAATGGAACAACAAAGTCAAGAATAAAAAAATATTATTTTTTTATTTTTATAAAAATGTACAGAATAGATGTTTCGGATTTTTATGACTTCCAAGCATTCAGAAATATGTGTCCATTTAGAGACTATAACAAAGCAGTCGAGAATTTGAAACGTTTAGTCATTTATGTTGACTCTGCCCCAGAATGTTATGTTATGAAAGAATGGGATGTAGTCTTTAACAAACCTAAAGCGACAATAGTTTCAGAACAAGAATGTAGACAGAAACTTAAGAAAATAAAAGTTGTACAAGTTGGAATGAAGATGTTAGATGCTTGGGATATCTTATTGTCAAAGTTAGAAGATTTTTCAGTTCGAGGTATAAAGTTCTATACACCTTCTCCAAACTTCTATTCTATCTTCACTGGATATAAATATGAACAAGTAGAATGGAAAGAAAATATTATAGAAGCTTGGTTAGACCATGTCAAAGAAATTATATGCAATGGAAACGAAAAGGTTTATGAGTATATCTTATGTTGGTTTGCAAACATCTTACAACATCCAAGTGCTAAAAATGAAACTGCTCTCATTATAATTGGAAAACAAGGAACAGGTAAGAACACATTCTTTACAGATATCTTATGCAAACTATTAGAAGGTTATTCGAACCCTAATATGACAAACTTAGAAAACATCTGCGGTAAATTTAACTCTTCAATTGAGAATATGAAACTTATAGTTTGCAATGAACTTCAAAGTATAGATACAACAAAAGTTTTGAACTCAGATGCTTTGAAGAGTCTTATAACAGACAAAGTTGGAGTTGTTGAAAGAAAGTATAAAGAGCAAAGAGTTTGTGAAAATGTTGCAAACTTCATTATGGTTTCAAACAATGCTGTTCTGATGAAGTTAGAAAGTTCTGACAGAAGATATGTAGTTGTCAGAACGTCAGATTCTCATATGCAAGATACAGAATATTTTGACGACTTAGCAGAAACTTTGACATCTGACTTTTACAACCACTTGTTCTCATATTTCATGACATTAGATATTTCTAAGTTCAATCCAAGACAAACTCCACATACCGAAGAGAGACAAACATTGTTAGAAGCAAACAAGAGTGTTTATGAACTGTTCGTAGATGAAACTGACTTTGTGTCATTAGATGAAAGGTCATTGTACGATTCGTATAAACAATATTGTCAAGAATATGGTTATATGGCAGCTTCTAAACGTACATTCTTGGCAAATGTCAAAAGTCTTTTAGATGTTCAGAATGGTGTATATACAAAGAAAATTTTTTCTGAGTAAATTTTAAAAAAAAATATTTTTTTATCCGATAGAAAAGATGACGAAATATATTTCAGTAAACAAGTACATGTCAGGACTTAAAGAAGAACTAGACCCATTCACATATTTGAATGTTTACTTCTACCATTTTGAAAAGTCTTCATTCAGCAAAGTTTGGAACATCGAACCAGTTAAGTTTGCTATTGTGACTAAAAATGGTGCGAAATTTGAAGACTTAGACATAGAAGGTTTGTTAACAGTCAAAGAAAGTTTTGACAGAAGGTTCTCAAACCTTAAAGAAGGCAAAGCATACAAACTTGTTATACCTTATGAACCAAAGAAGACAGACGACTATGAATATTATGAGTCTAAAGTTGTAGAAGTTCAAGGTAAATTGGGTAAAAAGATTTTAGAGTCTAAGCCAGTGTTTACTCCTAAAGAGGAAGAGAACATTGACATTGACCCAGAAATGTTCTAAAAATAAAATTTTATTTTTACATGTCAAATTTCTTTTTCTCTGGAATTGGCTCTGGTTCTTTCTTCTCTTCTTCTACTTTCTTTTCTCTCTTCTTCTTTTCTGGTGGAGATATGTCAAATTTCTCAGAACCATATTTCTGTAAAAGTTCTTTGTCCTTTAATAGCTCATCTATTCTGTTTTCTATTTCATCTTCAAGAACAGCGCATGTGTCTTCTTTGCATTCTAAGAACTTTTGTTGGACTTCATCTTTCCAATCGGCGTCATCTCTGTCAACAAGTCTGTCATTGACAAATTTTAAGACTGCTCTTTGTAATGTTTTATGGTTCTTGTCATATTCCCAGAAACAGAACTTTAGAACAAATTCACCTTTCTTGTTTACACTATGTAAGATTTTATGGTCGACAGATGTTTTGCTGTCAAAAAGTTTGTCTCGAATATAGATAGCGAAATCGCTAGACATTTTCTAAAAGATAAAAATTTTAATTTTTCTAAAAATATGTTAGAAAAAAGTTTGCTGACATTGACAAGAAATTTGAGAATGTTTTAAACAAGAACAAGAGGAAGTTAGAAAATGCTCAGATAAAGCCTATACATGAAAAGTTCTTATTTGCTCAGAATGGTATAACAGGTCTAATTGCACCACCTGGGTCGGGTAAGACTTTCACTTATCTTAAAATGGCTGCACAACAACAAGAACTAGATGAGAAGAACCCATTCTATGAGTTAGTTGTTATTTGTTCGACTTCTGGTCAATTTGACCAAACCGTCAATTCGTTCAAAGATATTATAAAGAAGTCTAAGTTAGTATGTATAAAGGATACTGAGTTGTTAGATTGGATAAAGAAGTACCAAAGAAGAGTTTTGAAGTATAATGCTATAAATGAGTATATAAATTCTAAGTTTAAAGAACCTAATGAGGAAATGCAGAGAATATTAGAGAAGAAACACTTCAGAAACAAACAGAAAGAGATAGAATACATTTCGAAGAAATTGCAATCTTACGATTGGAAGACTTACCCTCATAGATGTCTTCTTATCTTAGATGATTTCGCCTCTCATCCTTTGTTAAAGAACAGAGAACAAGATATGTGTCGAATTCTTAAGAAGCTCAGACACTTTAACATCTCAGTTGTCATTTGTGTACAGACAGCAAAGAGTTTAAGTAAGGATGTAAAGAGAATACTTACTGACATTATACTTTTCCCCGGATTGTCCGAAGACGATTTCATGGAACTTATGAAAGAGTCCATGGCAGGTAAGTTTGACAGACATGAACTCTGGGAGAAGTATAAAGTCATACAAGACCCTCATACTTCTTTCAGAATTCATATCTACGCGAACAAAGTTCAAATTGTAAAAAGTCAAGCTTGAAAAATGTAAGTGTTTAGTCTTAGTAAGATGGTAGCTTCTTAAAGCATATGCCGTCCTTGAGTTTTAGGTACGTGAAGAGAAGTACAATGAATTCAATTACGAGTACAATTGCAATGACAACTAAGGCAACTATTTTTGTCTTTTGCCAGCAAGGGTACTTCTTCTCTTCCAATGGTTCGGCAGAACTATACTCACTCATGAGAAATGCCAAAACGGTTTAATAGAAAAAGTGTCATTTTTTTCATGTCCGAAGACTCGAAAGTGCAACACTTCCAAAATACCGACGAACTCAGAAGAGCAGCATGGCAGTATCTTCTTGACAACTTCTTTGAGTTCTCCAGGTACACCTTGGAAAATGCTGAAGAACTCCGACACAGAGAATTTGGAGAAATTGCACTCCAATACTACCTTGACAAACAAAGGGTAAACAAAGGGTAAAATAAGACTAAAAACTTAACGTTTAAAAAGTGACATTTTTTATGAGCTCCGAGTCACCGAGAAAACTTGGTCAGATGTTAGCAGCTTACTTCCCTGAGGAGGATGGAAGCGTTACATACATCAGGTTCAAAAACAACGAACCTGGAATTGCGTACCAAATTCGCAATTACATGACCATGGAAGAGTATGAAAGATTTCTACAAGAGAAACCAGCTCTAAACAACCCAGAAAAGAAAGAGTAAAAAGTTTAATTCGTAATTGTTTATTTTTTTACTTGTATGGGCAAGCTGCAAGAATGAAGTCGACTATCTCAGTCTTTGTCTTGACCAGTTGGACTGCTCTTGTAAGCACGTCTGTTTTGCGGTCTCCAGCTGGTGTCTGACCTTCGTAATTGCGCATGTTCTTGAGAGCTCCAACTGTAAATGGTTGTAGGATGAAGAGTCTCTCAGACTGCTTGAGGTAGTCTTCACGGTCACGAACCGAATCTGTGGTACGAGTCGAATCGGTCGATTTGAGGGAAGAGAGTGAGAGCCTGTCTTCTTCCATTGGGGCAGTAGCATACTCTTTGCGTAAGCGTTCAGACCTTCCTCGAACTCTTGGTCTCTCTTGGATTGAGATTGGAATTGTGGGGTAGGGTTTTGCATAAACATCCAAGGGTTGGGGCAGTAAGTCATAGGCTGAGGAGGGTAGTTCGGGAAGCCTTGTGGTGGGTAGTAACCTTGAGGTGGAAATTGGTAGTAATTCGGAGGTCCTTGTTGGAACTGAGGTGCAGGGGCTGGTGCTTTAGGTTCCTCTGGTTTGGGAATGGACTGGGTTGGTGGTACGTCGGATATTGTCTTGAAACAGTACAAATATTGTTCTGAAGCAGTGCAAGTCTTGTTCTGAAAAAGTACAAGTATTGTTCTGAAGCAGTGCAAGTATTGTTCTGAAAAAGTACAAGTATTGTTCTGAAACAGAAAATTTTTCTCACAAATTGAGAGCTTTTACGGGAAATTTGTTCTGAAAAAGTTCAAGTCTTGTTCTGAAAAAGTACAAGTATTGTTCTGAAAAAGTACAAGTATTGTTCTGAAACAGTACAAGTATTGTTCTGAAAAAGTACAAGACTAGTTCTGAAACAGTACAAGTATTGTTCTGAAAAAGTACAAGACTAGTTCTGAAACAGAACAATGGACAACATCGAGCCATTAGATGAGGCAATTTACCTTATAGAGATAAATGAAGTTGTTAAGCAGTACTTGGGCAAGGACAAAGCCAACAAGTCCCTCGGCTTCTGGTTGTCTGGAAGAGGTGCGCTGAAAATCGAAATTGAAACCGGAATTGTCCTACAAATACCAGAAACACTCCTGTAGACGACATAAAGGAGATGAAGAAAGAAGCTCTTCTCAAGTTCTTTGCAAAGCGCCCATGGATACAACTTCCAAACAGAGAGAGTCCAATTCCACGAATTATACAAATTCTCAGAGCACTGTTCCACTTCTCAGGACGGCCGTTCTTCATAACCTCAGAAGGCGACATCCAACCAATTCAGTAAACCTTAACGTTTAACTTCACTTTTTTTATGTTTTTACTCACACTCGTACTCACCAGGTATGAGTACAATTGTTTCAACTGTGAACCTTATGTAGAAGGAATGGATTGCGACTATCGCTTCGGTCGATGGATAATACGTGCTGGTTTTACAGACACTGGAAACTGTACTTCTGACAGATGTTGTTGCGACTGTCAGATAACTGAAATTACAGACCCACCTCCCCCAAGAACTCCAACACCAACACTCAAGTTACCAGAGTCTCATGTGAATTTAGATTAGTTAGATGTCAAGAGAGGAATAAGACAATTAAAATTAAAACTCTTAAATTACGAAGCTATACTCCAGAAGTTAGCAGAAATGAGAAGACTTTACCAGAGCTACTTACATGTATGGGACTTACCTTCAAGCAGTCCGACCAAAGATGAATTTTCTGACATTGTCGCAATTTTGTCCGAAAGTCAGCTCAGATGTTTTGAACTGCTCCCAACATATCCAGAATATGAACGTTTGCCTGAACTCTTCCGCAATCTCAAAAAACGTTTTTTGGTTCTCATGTTCGAAACTTTTATCGGAAGAGACAACAAACGTTCAGAAGAAGAACAAGATATTATTTTAAACTTGTTGTATGACATAACTGTCATAACAAGCTTTTTGAAGTAAAACTGCCATTCTCAAACCACTTCATTTTTTCGATGTCCGAACAAGCACCGAAGCCGAACACAATGGCAGATGTCCTTTCAAGGTTGCCAGACAATCGCCCAATTCAAATTCAAATTGCCCAATTGAAAGCTCATCTGACAAACACCATTAAGACTCTCCAAAGTAGTCTTATGACAGAGATGACCAATCTCAAAGCCGATGTCCTCATGAACCAAGCTTCCAATGAGAAATGCCTGAACGATTTCGCGGAAACCTTGCGCAATTACGAGAGAGAGAACCGAGACCTTGCCAGACTCATCTACCGTTTCTTCGAAGAGATAGACGCCATCTGGAAGGTACTCGGAAAGGACAGAACATGCAACACCGTACTTCGTGAGTACCAAATTGAAGAAGGAATTGTCGAGGAAGAAGAGGAAGAAGAGAAACACGAAGAAGTTCCTGAAGCCGCTACATGGGCAACCCTTGTTGTCGATGACGGTTACGAAATTTCCCAACCCTACCATACCAAATCCGCAACAAGGAGACAGGCAAGGTTCTTACCCCAGTCCTCAACAACTTGGGACACTTGAACCTTAACCTTCGGAATCGCGGTTCAATCTCCATGGGCAAGCTTGTCGCAATTCAATGGGTTCCAAATCCAGACAAGAAGACGAAGGTCAGACACATTGACGGTGACAAGCTCAACAACCGTAAGGAGAACCTCGAGTGGTTCTAAGAGTAAAAAAAATTATTTTAGGGGGAAACCCCAAGTAAATTTAAGTTTTTATTTTTGGTATTTGTACCAATCTTGGAATGTGAAGACCACATCCCAACCTCTGTACGTGAGTCTTGGGTCACGTCTAAGACCCTTCTGTAGCAATTCCAAGCCCGAGCAAATTCAATTGTCAACCACTCGTCTCCTCTGTAGTCTTCAATCCATTCTTTGAAAGACGGTCGAGTTCGGGCTTGGAATATCTCTTGCCTGGGTCCGAGACCAACATTTGGTTGAACTGGACGAAGCGCTCAGGGATGTACGCCATTAAAAAAATGTCACTTTTTTAAAAAATAAATTTTTTATTTCATGCAATGTTTAACTATTTCACCATCTTCTTTAACACCCCAGTACTTACGCTTGGAGAGACATGAACTTCGGTGAAAATTTTGTCAATTTGAATTGACCCATCTTTTCACCGACCATTCCATTTCAATGAGTTTGTTATAGCCTTCTTCGTTCGTCATGAGTGCGTCAATGTTCTCATAGTAAACCTTGACTTTCTATTTGACTTCGGAGAAGAATTTGTTGTACTCGTCAAGGACTGCTTTTGCGAACTGAGGGTAAGACCAATGTTCGACAATAGGTTTTAATGTGGTTACTAAGCCACTTTGACCTTGAGTGAATTCGTACTTCAAAACAAAAGGAGAAAACCTTTCAACAAAGTTGTCGACCTTCTCATAATGTTTACTCTTCATCTCTTGAGGTTTCTTAATGGAATATCCCCATGTCGAATTCATAAGCAATTTGAGTGTCATTGCAAGTTTGGGGGTTTGAAAGCTTTCCTAATATCATACAGTTGTTGTATGACTTTTCCAACTGTATAGTTCCTTCCCGGGAACTCACCATCTTCGTTTGGAATTCCAGTCGGAATATATTGGACAAACCTCATGTATGCAGCGTTAAGGTCGACATAGTATATCTTTTCATCTGAGTCGAACTTGTCGCAACCAATTGGTCCAGTTTGTGGAAATTCAAGTGAGTCTCTTATCTTCTGAGAAACTTCTCCTGTTATCTCATAAACATCGTCGAAGCAACCTGTTTCATATAAAACCTTCTGACCTAACTCAGATGCTCTCCAATACAATTTGACGTCAATTGGATGTCTCAATGGAAGTTTGTTTATAGCATCTTGAAGTTCTTGCAACCTCATTGGAAGTTCTTCTGGTTCAGGTTGGTATCCGAACATACCAACTCCTTGTGGAACTGTGTACTTCTTTTGTACTAGAACTTTGTCTGGAACAACTTTTGGTCTTGCTAACAATGAAAAGTTTGTTTCGTCTTTTGGTACAAAATTTCTGTAAGCTGTCATCTGGAATTGGTTCCAACAAACCTTTCTCGAAAAGAATGTTTACAGCTCTGACAATGTTGCACTTACTTTTACCAAAGAATGGGTTTTGTAAGACTTTCGTTCAACATGAAGTGGTTGTGGACAATTACAATCTTCAACCATGGTAAGTCTTTGTCAACAACATAGTCGTCATGTGAAGAACCTTTAGCTGTAGGTATGTTGACTCGGATATTGACATTTGCCAACGGTGCAATTTTTGCCAATTGACCTTGAGAATGTACCTTGTCTTCACACATGACTCAAGAATACTTCATCTTCTCATCTGTAACAAGACCAGAGTTCCTGAGACATGTAAGAATACAAGGTTCATTGACAATTGTTTCAATTGAATTGTAAATTCCATACCTTGTCAAGTCAATGTCAGACTTATTTATGAACGGGAAGTATCCAGCATGTTGTCTGACTGCTTGAGGGTTAGGTTGGTACCATTCGAACTTGACACTTGCAATTCTTCAATTGCATTCAAAATGTCTGAGTCGGAGTCAACCATTTGTTCTCTCTTTGTAGTCTTGAAAGCGTCAAGAAGTTTTGCGGCTGTTTGTTCATTGCCATGTGCATAGTAAATGTGACCATCCAAATCTGTTATGGTCAATCTGAGATTGTGTCCTTTCTTATTTCCGTCTTGAATTGCAGCAAGTACTCCCATGAAGCCTTCTTTGTTCTTTCCTTCGTCAAAGTTTACTGTAAAGGTTCGACCAGATGTAATTTGACTTCTAACTTCACGATACTTTTCATATGCATATCTTGTTCTTTCCATGGGAGCATGTGTGTCTTCACCTTTTCCTTTTTTCCTTCTCAAAGGATGCAATTGTTCGTCATGTTTCCAGTAGAATCTGGCAAAGCCGTCGTGTCCTTCAACTTGAGGTTCACTAACATCGAAAGGCATGTCCATAAGACGTTCTTCTTCTAACCTTCTAGTCTGTTTGGATAATTGGCACGTGCTGTTTCCAAATCCATTTCGTAGCGAAGACCAGACAATTTGTCATAGACTTTTATGGGTCTTCCCTTCCTATATTTAAACTTCTTCGAAACTCTCCAACCATATCTTTGTAACTCTGCTTTTATTCTAGCAGACTTTCTATCCATTCTATATGGGGGCATTTTTATAAAAATAAAAAAATATTTTTTTCTTTACTTTACATAACCGCCCTGCTGCCATAAGTCTTTGACGCCAACCCATACCAGCTAATGAAGGTTGACTTGGTTTAGTTTGGAAACTAAACTTTGGTTTTGGTTTATCTTCAGTTTTTGGTTTTTCTTCTTCTATCGGTTTTTCGTCACTTTTCGGTTCCTCTGACTTTACTTCACTTGCAGGAACAGTTGTGTCGTCAACATCTTCATAAATATCATATGCCATTTGTTTTTGTTTTCCTTTCAACTTTTTGTGTTTGTTGTAAAGTTTAGAATATTTCGACTCTAAGTCAATGAGATGTTCTATAATGAACTGTTGGTCAGTGAAGTAAACTTTTCCATCTGTTGTCTCGAAAGCTCCTTCAGACTTCAATATTTTATTTGTGAGAGTCTGTTTCTTTTTGAGATACTAGCCGTTCCATTTCTATGAAAAGTGACTTTATAGTTAGGGTTTGTATTTCCAGACCTGGCACTTTCTATTATTGAATTTTTCTCTTCATCTGTAAGTTCTTTGACAGGTTTTGACAATGGTTCTGAACTTTTTGTTTGTGGTGTCGAATCTACCGTTTCAACTTCTTCGGTCATTTCATCTCAGTAAAAAATTTTAGTTTGGTTTGTTTTCAACTGGTTGTTGTTGTGGAGGTGGGATGGTTCCTTTAATAATATCATTCAGTTTCACATGCTGAGCCTGACTATATGGTATCGGTTTAAATGCTGGAAGCCGACAAATCCATCTTGAACTCATTTGTCTCAATGCTGCATTGTTCATTTCATCTCAATAAAAAACTTTACATTCCCCACGTTTGAGGCGGTTGAGGTTGGTTATTGTTTACCCACTGTTGTGCATGGTTATATCCTCTGTTAAAGAATCTTTCACCTTGGTCCATATAGTGTCCTGCTTGGTTATAGTAGTCATTTGCTTTTTTATAATAGTTTCCTGCTTGTCTTCCTACATTGTCCATCCATCCTTGAACTTTTCCTCTTGTTTCAGGATTTGGAATAAGATTTGTTGCATCTCGTGCTACATCCCAACCTTTCTGTACAGTTTGTATAATAGGTTGTGCTTTCTCTTTCAGTATACCTAATGTACTCAAAATCTTCCTTCCAATTCCAAATGCACCTCTGGCTATTGTTCCCACTGCGGGTAAAAATCTAGATGCAACTCCTGCTAATGCGCCAAATAAACCCATTTCTTATAGGGTAAAAAATGACGAATCCAAACAAGGACCCCTATGTTTCTAAAGCGACAAAGAAAGCACTCATGATAAAAATCTTTAGTTCAACACCAAATGCTTGGTTTATGGATATCTTGGAAAACATTCCGAGAGTTAGAACAGATGGACCTCCATACTGGTTAATATTTGTTGGTCAAAACACAAGATACTGTGAAGCCATACCATTACAGTCCAAAGCTATTTTAGATATCTTAGCAGCTTTGACAATATTCGTTGACAAATACCATCCAACAAAACTGACATCTGACTGTGAAAGTTCTTTCAAATCAGATGATGTAAAAAACTATCTGCGTTCAAAAAATGTAAACCAATATTTCATTGTCGACCAAAACCATTCTGCTCTTGGTGTCATTGACGGTTGTATAAAAATGTTAAGAGACTTAAACCAACCACAAGGTGGTGAAGCAAATGAAATGTCATATGACGACAAGTATAGACACTTCTCCCAGGCAAAGATGAGACAAGTTTTAAATATTTACAATAACCGTAAACAAAAAGGTTTGGGAAACCACTCCCCCGAAGAAATGAAAAACAACCCTGACTTAGAGAAAGACTATATATTTAATAATTTAGTCAAAAGAGACAAACAAGAAAGAATGCCGGGCTTCAAACTTCAGAAAGGTGACAAAGTAAAAATAGAAATACCTAAACGCGACCCATATGAAAATACTATTGACTATGACAACAATGGGAACTCGACAGGTACTCACATTCGTGTTCGTAAAAATAGAAGAAAGTATACAAGAGAATATTATGAAGTTTTAGGCAAACATGGCAAAATGTACACACTGCAAGCAGAAGATAAAACTACTATTGTCAGACCTCGTTTCAAACTTGTCAAAGTTCAAGGTGGTATACTTTCAAAGACAGTTCCTAACAAATATAAGACAACTCCTGACGAATATGCTAAAGAAGTTGAAAATGACGACTAAGCAATTCTATACCATGCGTAAACTGTCATGTAAGGTGGCATGTATTCTTTACTTTGTCCCGTTGTTTGCATATATCCTGAAACGAAATGTGTATGGTTTCCTTCTCCCTGCGTGTCATCCCAGTAACAATTTATAGCAAACTTAACGTCTCTTTAACATCATATCCTTTACCTTTTGTCATTCCTGACCAATCCCAATATCTATGCTTATGCCAACTGCTTGAGATGTACTTAAATCTATGTAATGACTGTGTGCAGGTAAATTTTCACCTGAAATCGTTTTACTTCCACCTGTTTCCTTTGAAGAGTTTGCACAATACAAAAACCTGTCGACTATTTGTTCCCATGCACCAACACCAAACATTACTTGAGGACCTCTTGCATCCATAGATGTATAAATAGAACCTACTGGGTTCATTAAATCAAACATATGAGATATTATAGGATTGTCTCTTTTGAACTTAAAATATAGTGCAACTATTTCAGGTTTCTTCTGGTTTGTGTCAGAATATTTTTTATAATATAATCTTATGTTTTCAGGGTAGGTAAAATCTTGACTATAATATTTATTTCTGTCATCTGTATAATAATATACTATTCTCGTTTTTTCTATTGCATTATATCTTTTATATCTATAATAATCTAAATATAATGTTAGCTTTTGTTCATCTACATGTGGTGTTCTGTCGTCATCTCCATAGTCATAATAATGTGGTGCCGGAGCTGGGTCAGGCAATGTCATATCTGCCATTTCATAAACTCTTAAATATTTCTTTTGTTCGTCTCCATATAAGTTTAAGTAGCAGTTGTTGTCTAATGGAACTTGAACTTGTGTACCATCATTCTTTTTATAGCTTACATACATTTCATTGTTATTTTTCGGAATGAGTTTATGCCGTGTACCATTTTTTAAGGACTGTACCAACTGCCATCTAAAATATTTATTTTCTTCATTGACAGAAAAGTCACCAACAATAGTTTCAATATTTTTTGTTCCTATCAAACTTTGGTATATTTCATTGACATATGTTTTATCTGCTTTATTTTCAAGGCTAACGTTTAAGTCTGTTATTTCAGAAGATGTATGTGTATGTCCAACGGCACTTTTCCTGTTTACGGTTTCTTGTAAGTTTGTAATATTTGCAATGGTATGTGTATGTCCAACGGCACTTTTCCTGTTTAAGGTTTCTTGTAAGTTTGTAATATTTGCAATGGTATGTGTATGTCCAACGGCACTTTTCCTGTTTAAGATTTCTTGTAAGTTTGTAATATCAGATATAGAATGTGTATGAGTCTTATCTGCTTTTGTCTCTAATGTTTCCTTAAGACTTGGTATTTGGTTAATATAATGTATATGAGTCTTTTTAGAATATTCGTTTTCAGCTCTTGTCACTTCACTTGACATTTTATTGTCAACATATGTTTTGTCTGCTAGTTCAGGATGAGTATGTTCTTTTGTTGCATAAGCATTGTTAGCTCTTTCTTCTTCTTTTGCTATTGCATCGTCTACATATTCTTTGTCAGCTTTGTTGTCAACATCTGCTTTCAAAAGAAGTTCATTTATAGGTTTCTCGTTTAAAGTTCCTTTTGTTGGATTTATACAGACAGTATGGTTCTTATTGTCTTGAAACAGAAACTCATCTGTCATTGGGTTTAATGTCAGTTTTAAGTTTCCTTCTTTCAATGACTCAGATATCTTAGAATAGTTTGAAAAGTTTGTTGTGTTCTTATTTAGAGCTTGCATAATGAGTTGTCGGTTGTGTTGTATTTCTCTCATGGAAGCAATATCTTTCGACATTTTTATTCTAGATAAAATATGCTTCCAATAGAAAAAGAAAATTCAAGAGTTGCTACAACTAAACCATTAGATGAACTTTTTACTAATGTCGGTCAAAAGTTTGAGACAGAGACCGTAAAGCATGAAGGCTATCGTTTTGACTACCCATTAAGATGGTTAAGAGACCCATCTGTCACAAAAGCTATTGGCTTTCGTAGAATGAAGTTTGTGTCTGTAGAAGATAAAAGTTTTCCATTTATTGTAAGGTTTCATATAGATTATACATCTGAAGGGCAACGAAAAATGTGGGAAGAAATTGAGCTAATACAAGTTGACCTCTCATCTTCTCTACAGACTGCATTAAAAAATATAGAAGATAAAATAAATTCATGTTATGCAAAATATGCTGATGAATATGCGAATACCGATAGCACACTTTATGTGAGAATTGTATATGACAAACAAAATTCACAAGTGTCATTTCAAATCTACGAAGACAATCCAAATAAAGACGAACAAATATATACAGAATTCACTGCAATGTCATGGTATTATTTGCAAAGAATGTTAAATCAGAAAGTTGAACCTCCTTTAGCAAATATCTACAGTTGATATGCAAGAGATGAACCATATTTATTTAAAGATGTTTTCGACCCAGATGCTATTATTGTTCATGCTTCATTTTCTGGCGCCCAAAACTCTTTCTTATGCTTGGCAAATGACTTTTACGAAAAACCTACAAAGTTATACGAACCACCAAGTGGAAGTATTTCAGACTTTCAAGTATGGTTTACTACAGATGGAAGAAAAAGAATAATTCCATTATACCATGCGTTTTACTTAGAACTTAGTTTCATATACAACTACTATCGAACGGTAAAAATATAATTTTTTAATACGGTTGAGGTGTTGGATTTGGTTGCCAACTTGACTGTGGTGCAGGTTCAGGCTGTTGTATAACAGGAGCTTGTTCTTCTGGTTCAGGGTCTTTAGGTATAATACCAACAAACTGACCTACTCTTTTACCAATATTTTTGACTCCGTTCCATACTCCTCTTCCGACAGATTTTATTCCATTCCATATACTTCTTCCAACATTTTGAAAGAAGTTTCCTATCTTACTGAAGAAACCCATTTTACTATATGTAAAAATCTAATGTCCGCCAAGTCTTTTACGTTTCCTGTTGAGTTCCATAGCATTCTTTAACTGGAGCTCATACATTCTGTTTCTCCTCTGGTAGAAAACATATTCTGGGTCAACTCCTGTGTTCGCGTCATCTGCATAAAGTTGTTTATATCCCACTTCAGGGTTTGTATAAAACTCTTTCCATCTCATATTTGCATACCATGGTGGCAAACTTAACGCAGCGTCATTTGACATGGCAGTTTGCATTTGTACATCTGTTGGCACCTGACCATAGTTTGCCATTGCAGTTTGTATTCTAACTTCATTTGGAATATTCTCTGGGTTTGGTTGTCCAGGTTGCTGTGCATTCGCTAAGTTCTGTGCGTCCATTTAATATTAGATAAAAATATCTCTTACGAGTACATATGCTGAACATTTGCAGGCATTGGTTCATCTTCATATTCTCTGTACTTTTCTGCCACGTCAAATAAATAAATGACACAATGAAAAAAAACCTAAAACAAGTAGTCCTATTTCAAACCACATTTACTTACTAATAAAATTTCTTTATTGTGACACTTTCTCCGGTTTATAGGACCTCTCTCATATTCTATCTTGTCATATATAAACTCATAGTCATGTATGTCCTCTAACCATCTCATAACGGTTTCCAAACCACTTTTATCGGATGTAAAGTAAAAGCATGGATGGTTATGTATAATGTCTAAAGTTTCTAAAGAGTCTCTCAAAGTCCAGTCTACTTGGTATTGAAAATCCCATGTGTTATAGAACGGCGGGAGTTAGTATCCCTAAGTTGCGTACTGTGGCACTGCGCACCTCCGTACATCACTTAACAGTTTTGACACTTTACGAAACCGGTAACGTATATTTTACAACACAACCATAACGCCAACTTAACCTTAAATATTTACAAAACCGTCTGACACATAAACGACTTCACTAACGACTTCACTACCGTCCTCACTAAATAAAAAATAACCTATTTTTATTTTTTTTTTAATTTTTTATTTCATTACAAAGACATGTCTGACTACATTTACTATGACTCTTTCCCAGAACGTTTCCGTGAACTATTCAAAACTCAAGTAAAACTGAGAAACATGCATTTTAACAAAGATAGACCCATTGACGATGAAAGAAACCCTGAATATATTACAATCCCATATGACGCAAAGTTCATTGCATACATTCCTTATGGTCGCAGAGGAACGAAAACTATTTCAACAAAGAACAAAAATTATTTCTGGAGCGATGAAGAAAATTGCCTTATCTACATAAATGCATACTTAAATAAAGCTACATATTGTACAAAAGAAGGTTGGACTGGATTTGAGCTCTACATATACGACGACGATGGAAACAGACGTTGTGTATACCCATACGATAATATGTACCATTGTTTTCATCAAGCATTAAACGAATACATAGTCAGTAAGGGTCTCATTCCTGCTGAGTAGAAATGTTATATTTTTGTTCTGTCATTTATAAAAAAAATAAACTTAAAAATAAATGATATCACCACCCTCACACGTATGAAAACATAGCACAAAAATAAATTTAGGTGAAGTGGTGAGATCTCACCTCTTTTTTCACCTCTTTTTTCACCCTGTTGAATTCATTGCTTTATAACTCTCTTCCTTTATCCAACTCTTCTAACTTCTTCTTAAGTTCAGCAATGTTGTCCTCATGAAGTTTAATCTTCCTTAATATACCTTTCTATCTAATGGTTGCTTTATCTTTCTAAACTGAACTCTACCATCCTTCATAGTATGAATGTAAAAACCTTCTGGAATAGTTCCTGATTTAATGTATTCTACCAAAAACTTTTGTTTCATTGCTTCAGTGACTTTAGTCGTCATTTCAATCAAATAAAAATTTTAATATTAAATAAAAATAACGTTATTTTTTCAGTAAGGAAACGCAGGAGTTTTACGATTTATTTGAGGAGTAGGTTCTGGTTTAAATGTTGGAGTCGGTTTAGGAGTTGACTTTTGAACAGGAGTTTGTACTTCCATAGGTTCAGGAGTCATTGAAGGTTTTGCTTGTGAAGGTGTTGGAGTTTGTTTAACTTCAGCTACTTCAGTATTATTTACAACATTTGCTTTATTTCTTTTCAACATCATAACTGCTCCTGCTGTAGCTAGCAAACCTAGTGGGAGACCATATTTTATATAAGGACTTGACCAAATGCTATTTTTGACAGGAGCTGGTGGAACACCTAACCTTGGTGAGACTGCTCTTTGCCATTGTGCAGCTCGTAAGAAATATTCAATAGGTGCTCCATAATCGTTTGGTAAAGTTTGTTTCATAGATGGTGAAGGTTCACGAGAGCTTGATGAAGAACTCATTTATAAGCTTTAAAAATAAACGTTCATCCTTTATTCCTCACTGTCGTCCGTAGCTAAGTTATAGTCATCTAATCTTATTATGGGGATGCCATTAGCACGCACCTGAATGGCAAAGCAACAATCCCTCATAAATCCAATAAGTGGCTTTGGTACATTTTCAGTTGCTAGTTCAATAGGTCCTTTAACAGACAATTTGTATGTTATTGGAGCAGTAGATGTTTGACCTTGCTGGAAGCAAAAGTCCACTTCTGTTGGAAAACCACATAAGAAATGTGTGTTGTCATAGCTATCCCATTTATGTTCCACACTACCATCATCCACCAATGACCTCATAACATCTTCATTAAATCCTATCATATCATTGTTTGTATTGCAAGCGTTCGCAACCATTTCATAAAATACAGGTCCATATGATTTTTCAGGTTCTGCAGGCATATTTCCATAAGCTCCCATGGAAAGCTGAAGATATTTAAACTTAGGGTTCTCAAAATTAACATAATAGTTGTCTTTCTTTCTAAATAGTGCCCAAATACTTTTAACATTAATAGGCGTATAAGCTGCTGTAAATGTTGCACTTGAACTATCTGTATTCTTTGCGAATGCACCGTCCATAGGAATCCAATCCATAACTTTAACAGGAAAACATAAAGCCTCGTTTGTATAATGTTCTACAAGTTCTGTATAAATGTTAGGGTCTAAAGAGAATGACTTTGGATGAATGAAACATTCATTAAAATCCATCTTTGTTCGAAATAGTTGCTGGGTTACAGTTGTAATAGTAACTGTTCCACTAGCTTCTACTGCCTTCGTTATCATAGTGAATGGTTCATTCCATGGAACAAATTTATTTGTCGGTGGATTTGAATCTGAAGCAAATGCAACTTTAAGAGTTTGGATTGAAAGCAATGATATCATTTACAGATATAGATGTGCATTGTAATGCGTCGCTACTGAACTTTACTTTAAGCTGAATGTTACCAGCAAATGCAGGAATAAATCTTATAGCTTCTAATGGTAAAAACTTTCTAACAGGAATTCTTAAACGAAGCTTAAAATCAAATGATTTTCCTGCTGTAATTGGACCACTAACAATTTGTCCTGTTCTGCATGTTCCCGAATGACTCCATACATCTTCATGTCGAGTCTTTGAGAAAACATCTACTTTCTTTATTTGTTCGGTAGTTTGTGAGTTTGAAGTTATATATGCTTCTTCTCTTGCGTTGTCTTGAGAATATACGATACGACCATTTGCAAGGATTTGATATCCAGCAACTGCATAGAAAGCGTCATCGAAACCAATCCAAAATCCTGGTTTGTGTTTTATTGGAACCTGAACCAATTTCTTTATCTACAATAAATTGACCTTCCATTTTATACGTAATGAATGTATTGTAAAGGTCCAACATATTTTCACCAGGAGGTGAGAGATTGAATGTTACCCATGTGTTATCTTTAGCAGTTCCAGGTTGTGATGGAATCTTTGCGTCAGAATATTTTCTATTAGTGTCACCAATTTGAACTGCATTGTCTATGATATCGAAATATGAGCGAATCTGATGAATATGCTCTGCTGGAGTAAATTCGTTTAGCTGTTCGTTCTGCATGTATTTACTTCAGATAAAAATATCTATTTACTTCATTATTCTCACTCTTCTTCTTGGCATTCGTGGTGGAAGTTGTTTCTTGACATTTTCAATGAACTGTACATTCTCTTTTGTCTCAACTTCTTTCACTGGTGGGTCAGGATTCTTTGACTCGGTTTGTTTTTCAATGAAATTCACGAACTTTGCAATAAGCTCTTGGTTCGTTATTGAAAGTACATCTGGCTTCTTTTCTTCTGGTTCTATTGACTTTTCAGTTTGAACAAAAGGTTTTATATGAGCTTCGTGGACTTCACCCTTGCCATACACCTTAATGTTGTCGCTCTCTGTATTCGCTAATGGAACCTTTCTTTTTCTTACATATATTTTACCATCTTTACTCTGATTTACGTAATAGAAAGGATGTTGTATTCCTCTGGCGTCATTTAATATAATAGACTCTCGTTTTCTGATTTTGACAAGCTCATTTTACATCGGTTAAAGTTTTAATTTTGTTTTTTATCTGCAGTCAAATGACTCAGAAAGCCCTACGGACAAGACCCAAGGGGTCATAGATGTTGAAGCATTGAAGAAAGAAATTCGTGAGCAAATTTTATCCGAACTGAAGGAACAAAAACAAGAACAAAAGCCAGAGAGACCAAAGAGAAAACTTAGTGAAAAACAACTTGCTGCATTAGCTGCTGGAAGACAAAAGAACCCACGTTTGCTGGCGAAGAAAGCTAGAGAAGAAGCTGAAGCAAAAGCTAAAGAAGCTGAAGCAAAGAAAGAGTAAATGGTTTATTTTTTATCCGAATTAAATGTATAGACAAATACCTTTATCTGTTGCGTTCAGTAGTGAAAACCCTGACGTCCAAAATAAAGGGGAACAGAGTAACGTTTAAGTTTCCAACAGACTGGATTGTGAACATAAATGAAGAGAAGTACATTGGCATAACATCTATGTATATAACACGTGCTTTCAGAAAGGTTGACTTTATACTTCAAGTCGAGATAGAAAATGACGAACAGTCTTTAAGCGCCCAAAACATTCACATATACAAATACTTTAAAGACGATACAACACTGTTGCAATGTATGATTTCATTTAATGAGATGTTCGAGAAAAAGTTTAACATTGAAGTACAAACTTTACAGCCTTTACGTGAGTTTCTTGCACAACTGAAAGAAGAAGGTAGTCAGCCACAACTTAATAGACTCTTCATTATGAATTTAATGAAAATGCTGATGGAACACATGACTGTCAGTTTGTTATATATTCACCATTCAATGAAGTAGCTAAAGAAGAAAAAAAATCCATTACGTATAAGATTTCAAATCTCTTGAACCAAGTGATGATTTCAGAATGTTTTCAATTATGATGCAATGCTTCCGAGGAAAATGAATTTTCCGAAATTAGATTTTCCAGGTATTTGGGATAGAAAGCAAGCTATATTATATTCAAACTTAAGTAAGGGAGTTGAAAATGAGTTCATTGGTCATACAAGAACTTCACCACTTCCTAACCCCAAATACTATAAATTAACTGGATTCAATCGTGAGTTTTGGATAGACATGTTCTCCACTCATGACCATAAAGCACCTGTTTTGCTACCTCCAGACCATAAGACTGTCTCTACATTGAAGCACAAACTCTTAAACTCTACCATCGCAGTATTGTAAATGACCACATGGGCTTTATTTTTATCACGAATGACCTCATTGCTGACAAAAATAAATGACCTCAGAACTTCAACTTACGAATAAAGCTTGTTTTAGTCGTTATTGAGAAGTAAACTTCTCTTCAAAGCAAGGTTGACATGACTTACATAAGTCAAATCCAATCTCTTGACCGTCATAAAGTGCTTTGTAAAGTTTCATTAAACTGAACTCAGAGTCTTTGTCATATGTTCCTTGCGGAACCATTAAACCTTTATCTTCATCATAGAAACACTGAACAGAGTCAGGAAACATTTCATTAGCGGTTAAAGCAATAACATCTTGCTTCACGCCTTTCATTCTGCAGTGAAATGCAACTTCATTTAAATCATTCGTGAGTAAGTCTATGTAAGTCTTCTTTCCACAAAATATTGACTTGTATGCTAAACTTTGTTTTCCAGGTGTGATTTCTGCAAAGTCGCTATGAAATTGACCAAGGTTTTTACCAATGAGAACTCTTCCATAACGTTTCTCAAACTCTTCAGCTAAACGAGGGATATCTTCATTGTAGAGATGCATACTGTCCGTATCGCTATAAAAGATGTCCATTCCTAAGTCCTCAGCAGTACAGAATACTTCACACATTATTCTCTTCGACATAGACAGAATGTTAACACCAAGTGGACAGAAGTTAAAGTGTCTGCAAATGCTTTTCGTTAGCTTGAAAATAGTTTTATCTGAACCATCCAAACCTTCGAACTTCACTATATGGTTGTAGTTTCTGATGGCATATCTTATAGCATCTTTGTCATTTACTATGGTTATTTTTGACTCAATAGGAGATAGAATAGTTTTGCCATAAATACTGTTCAGAATGAGCTTTATATTTTCTTGCAAAGGATTTCCTTCTTTCTTATACTTTAACCTTAACTCAAACAACTTCTTTACTTCATCTCTTATTCTAATATCTCTGTTTCCATCGTAATAGTATCCTTGCAACACTTCACATTTGACACCTTGATATTTTATGAGGTCTTGTAATGTTATATGGTCAACATACATTAAACAGCAAGTGTTTGAACTTCTGGGAACGTTAAGTTCTGGATTTAGTTCAGGGTCACAAACTATTAAAGGAAAGTGTCTATGTATTCCAATCTCTGTTATCTTAATGAGAACAAAGAAGCCAGACATAAACTTTTCACCAATGGGTTCCTTTTGGTCGTCATCGAATAAATGTCTCATGAGATACTCTGTGCTTAACATTTCTTTCTTCATAACCTTTGGAATACTTTCTAAAGTATAAAGTCTTGCTATAGCTGATGGATATAATGAAACAGCGTCGAAGTCAGCAATGAGTTTCTTTTTGCTCTTTTGTTTAATGTTATCTGACAGCATACATCTTCCACCTTGAATACAGCGTGAAATAAATTCTCTTGGTTTATTTGAGAGGTCATATAAATTTCCATTCGGGAAGTACACTCTGTTCTCAAATAATTTGTTAGCAATAGAACAAATACTAACGTAGTCATAAACGTTTAAATCAAATTCTTTCAATATGTCATTGCGGAACTTAACAAAACCTTCTCTTAAAATTCTTACATCTTGTTTGCAATAAAATGTGCTATACTTTTCTAAGTCGAAGTGGTTCTCATCTATTCTGCAGTTTTCGATTAAATCTATGTTTTTCATGAACGTATCCGCATCCTGGATAAACTTACATGCTTCAGAAATGACACCAGTTCTGTTGTCATTTGCTAACAAAACACTGCTGTAGTAGTTATATGGAAATACTTCTTTCGGTCCTGTTTGTAAGTTAAACATAGCAGGAAATAGTTTAAGCTTCTTATTTATAACACTGTAAGAGTCTTTTATAATAATTGCCCTTCCTTTATATAAGCCAGTTATTTGCATTGTTCGTGAACCTTTAATGATGGGAGTTCCTTTCACTTCTGTCATGTGTCTTAAGATGAAGTTTATATCATAACTGAGGTTATGGAAATATATTAAACTCTTGTCAGGAAGTCGCTCCAAAAATTCTGTTGCACAGTTCTGACCCCAAATGCTTTCACTCACTGAACCATCTTCACTGTCATAACAGATGTTAAAAGCTTTATGAAAGCCATCGGTACTACACTCAAAGTCAGCAAAGAAAACGTGCTCAGGAATGAACTTGCACTTATTTTTATTTACTTCTTTTGACTCGGCTTTCTTCTTCAGTTGTACACAATACTTTGGAGCATATGACAAATCTTTAAATGGTACAAGGTTCTGTTTATATAAGTCAGTAGTATATGTGAAAAGTTCTCCATAAGAAATAGGTTCGAAATATTTGCACTCCCACAATGTTTTCATAACATCCCATAACGGTGTTGTTCTATCATAACGAACTACATATTTATCTTCTCTCTTTGTATAAATCTTCATTTGTTTCTCAATGTTCATTCCACCACAAGCTTTGAGAATTTCTATAATTATGAATGAAATATGTTGTCATTGGTAATCTTTCATTTAGCATGTAGTGGTCTTCAACAAGAAGTAAGTCAATAGTTCTAACAGTTTCACATTCTTTTGGTATGTATCTCTTTATTTCATTATGTCTTGAGTCATTGAATAACCAATGGTAACATTAAATGCTATACCTGTTGCGTCAGAAATTTCTTGTACTTTACTTTGAGGAAAGTCTCTAACACGAATGACTTCTCTCATGTGGTCAATAGTCTCTCCATCTACTCCAGCCTGAATGCAAGCATAAACGAAACAATTGTCTTCTGTCATAAGTGTTGCAGTTCTTTTGTTCAGTTCATTGAAGATTTGGTAGCGTTCAAGATTTATAGGTAATGTGCAAAGATACTTCCAGAACTGACCGCTTCTCTTCTTATAAAACTTCTTTTCACCATTATCTTTCCAAAAGCTTTCTATAAGTGCTGGGTTTCCTGTTTGCTTAAGAGCTTCCAAAATGGCTTTCTGGTCATTTGTCAGTGTGCTTTCATCTCTATATGGTCTCTTTTTTGGTTTGCCTTTCTTTACATCTGACATCGTTAAGCCTTCATATTCTGTTAAATCATACATCTTTATTTCAGTAAGATTCTTTATGTTTGTCAAGAAGAAGTCATAGTGCATTTCAACAATACCTGCAGCATTTGCTTCTATCTCTGATATAAAGTTCTCCTTCAAGAGCTGATGTAGTAATGTTCCAATATTATTGAGGTTTAACGTAGAACATTCATACTTTCCACCAAGTTTATAACATACCATCCATCTTTGTTGTGAGTTTATTTTAATTTTCTCTAAGAGTCTCATGAAAACCTTACCGAAATGTTTGTGTAAGTAGTCTCTGTTTGGTTCATCTAAAGCTTCGATGTTAAAGTCAATGAGTCTATTGCCTGACTTCACATTTCTCTTCCTATTCTCTTCATCTTTCTTTAACCATCTCTCACCTTCTTTTGGTTTGTCGTCAATGGAACGAATGACATCGTTAGCTTTGCGAACTTGTTCTATAGCACTTTAAACATCTCTCTTCTCTGTTGTTTCAGTGTGTCGTCTCTTCTTCTTGTTTCACCAACGTTTGCATTTGTTATGTCAAACATTTCTCTTCTTACTTCATGAGGTACTGAACGTCTATGATATAAGTCAATAGCAACGTCATTTAAAGGAAATGCTCTTGCATGGACTTCGTCCTCGCCGCGTTGCGGCTTTATGAACTCATGAATTCTATCATAACTTATTGCACCATTATAGTCTTTAATGAAGTCAGCGAGTGCTTTTTTGTTTGTTGCGTAATGTTTTGCTACTTCTATGTTAGCTTCTGTAAGAAGTTGTTTTATTTCCGAGTGTTCTAACTTAGACAACTTCCGATACATCTTTAGTAGGAAATAAAAAAATATTTTTTGAAAAAATTAGATTAGATTTTTTAAGTTATTTTTCAAAATAATTTAATATTTTTATTTTAATGAAACACATGCAAGATTGCAAGTTCTTTTCATACAATGCTCTCGCTACTGCCATCAAGAATGAGTTCAATAATGCTTCAAATGTTAATGTTATCTTTAACAAGAAGTTTGTGAAAGAATCTAAGTTTGGTCAGTATGTCAGACCATTAGCTATCGTCATTGACCGCAAACGTTATACTTCACAAGAGTTAGCAGTAGTTTTGAAACAAAAGGGTTTCTTCGTGAATGTCAAAGATACTCATTATACTGTTATAAAGAACTCTAATATTGACTTCTTCAGTATTGCTTTAAATCTTTCCGAACAGAAAGAATATAAGAAGGGTGAAACAAATGTGAAATATTATCCTTCATCTCTGAAGACAATAACGAACAAAGATGTTATACAGAAATTCTTACCAAAGGTTGAAGAAGCTTCTATTGACATTGACGAAGGAAGTGAAATGGTTGAAGAAATAGACCCTGAAGCTATTTAAGCAAAAATATATTTTGGTGAAGAGGTGAGATCTCACCCGTTTTTTCACCTCTTTCTTCACCTCATTCTCTCTTCGTTAATGTTGTCGTGACTTCTTCGTTAATGTTGTCGTGACTTTATTCTTCCTCTTTGAAGTTATCGAAATATTCTGTTATTTTTTCCTTCAGTAATGTTAAGTCTTCTTTGAATGTAAGTATTGTGCAACCTTTGATGTCATAGTGTGTTTGAGGAAGAGTATTTTTGACAATTTCCTTTATTTGCTCATTCGGAGTCATTGAAATCGGTAAGTTTTCACGATAGAACCAGTTTCTGTCAGATTTATATATTTTAGCTAAGTCGTAAAAGCTTTTGTTGTTTCTTCTGACTAAATGCAACATAACCACATCTTTATCTTCTTCTTTCTCCAACTCTTCAGTATATATCATATACTTATAACTCTTTTCCTTTCCTTTTGGTACCGAACGCGGTATTCTTTTCTGTATGCTTTTGTCTTTGGATTCAATGACTTCATCTTTTGCATGAAGTTTCTTTTCCATCTCTCCACGTTCTGCTTTATATAGTTCATCTACCATCATGAAAATATAACAAGCATAACGAGGTGAAGCCCATATTGCTACAGCGTTTACTAAAAGTCTATGAACATAATAACCTTTCAAACCAGGAGCCAAATTCTTGCGATTTTCATACGGAATCTCTTCTCTCGGTTTTCCGAGGGAAGCAATCATATGAGGAAATTCTTCTAAAAGTTCTTTTGTCTGTTGGTTTTCAAACCAATGATATGCTTGCTTTGTAGAACGAAGAGCATTCATTATACTTTGCATTTGGTACATGTCATCTTTGACCGAACGAATGAGGCGAAGTTGTTTGTTATATTGTATGTACTCGTATTCTTCATTAATGGCTTCATGAACGATAGCAGTTGTTGTGTTCTCTGATGTTGACATTACTGTCTTTACATACAAGATAAAAAAATAAATAAAAATAAAACTAACTTTATTTTCTGACTTTCACAAAAGACCAAAAATAAACGCTTTACATGTATTTTTCAGCAACTTCGTCAAATAATTTTATAGCTTTATCTATCTCATCTACTTCAAACGTTTCTTTACCTTTCGTGGGAGCACCATACATTTTCTCAAACTTTTCAAGTAGTTCTGTTTCTGCAGCTCTCATATCATTAACAAACACAACCTTGACTCTATTGACTGTACTGTCATATCTTTGAGTTATATTATATGTTCTTCCTATCTTATATCTTTTTGTGTTGAAGTCCTTCGGTTTCTGAACGATGTAAAGTAAGCCTTCACTGCAACGTTCCGTATCGAATGAACCATATGTTATGAAGTTATATCCAACAACTGGGTCAATCCATAACAAAACTATTGGTATAAGACTTTTGTCTATAAGATATGCTCTTGTTCCATGAAATGCTACTGATATCATAAGCTCAGGATTTCTTGTCAAAATTTTCTGAGTTGAAGCATTTCTAACCCAGTCGTTTGTTTTCTTTCCAGATGGAGATATAATGTCTGACAAAGAATATTTGTTGTATTTCTTTGAGTTTCTTACGTTTAAATCACCTATTCTAACCACTTTGGTGTCATTGTCTATCTTTCTAACTGTTTCAAACTCAATGTTTGTCATTACTGTCTTTACATACAAAATAAAAAAATAAATAAAAATAAAATTAGCGTTATTTTTCTAACTAATGAAATTCATTATTTTTGTGCTGAATTCAATAAAAATAATTTTTAGGTGAAGAGGTGAGATCTCACCTTTTTTTCACCTAATTTTTCACCTCTTTTTTCACCTCTTTTTTCACAAGCGTTTTACATGAATTGTACGATGTATATTTGAAATCCTAAACAATTTTGTAGCTTCAATTTCTTCTTTTAGTACATCGAATGTTTTAATCATGCCGAAAGTCTCTTTATATTTCTTCTTGACGTCAGACAGAAGGAAATCTTCTGCAGTTGGATAGTTTTTGTTCAGAAATGTCAACATATCCATTTTATCTTCTGCTGGCTTTTCTGCTTCTTTCTTTAAGTCTGCATAGTCGTTTCGCATTCTTTCTATCTCTTTGACTGAATAGTTATATTTTCTTATTGCTGCTTTACATTTTGAACATTGCGGATTCATTTTTGCGTTATACATTGAAATAAAACCAGCTAGAACAACTAAGGCGTCAATGGTTTTCTTTAACTCAAAAGCTGCTGGTTTTAACTGTTCATGCCATACCTTACCTCTTCTATCTTTATCTCTTATTTCCCAAACACATTTTGCAACTAATGAAACAAAGTTATCGTATGTCTTAAACTCCACCGATTTATATATGTCAGAAATATTTTTATAAACCATGTCGCAATCTTTGTCCATAACTTTATGGTTGCAATGATATCCTAGAAACTCATAATTTACTTTACGTATGAATTTCTTTATTTCTACTGAGTCAGTTGGTTTCACTTCTATTTCGTCGAATTCAGGAATAGTTAGTTTTTGCTGTTGGATTTCAGGCAATTTGGGTAAATGGTCAATAATGTCCTGCATTTCATAAAGATACTGTTCATTTGTTTCATCTTTCGCACTACAGTCTAAATTACTTGTTAAAAGTTCTTGCTTTATCTTCTGGATTTCTGTTTCAAAAGTATATGAAGAAGGAATAAAGCTTTTCATCTCTACCAACATTGACGTAGGATTCATGACTAGCGAGTTTGGTGCTGTAGTTGTTTGAATTGTTGTTGTGCCGATTGTTGAAATCATATCTTTTATACAAAATAAAAAAATAAATAAAAATAAAATTAGCGTTATTTTTCTATCTTAAGGAAATTCATGAAAATTCACGAGAAAGCTAAAGCAATCTGAGCCGCTAAGCGGTGAGGGTGAAAAATTAGGTGAAAAAAGAGGTGAAAAAAAGAGGTGAAAAAAGAGGTGAAAAAAAAGGTGAGATCTCACCTCTTCACCTAAAATATATTTTTGGTGTAAATTTATGTTAAAATAAATGGTACCATTAATAATACATGACTGTTCTCATTCATGTCTGATTTACATCTAATGAAAAAGTTTAGAAGAATTTTCTTATTCTTTCTGGCTTATTTTTGTCTTTCCAGTACTCCCGCTCTAATGGTCCCAGATGTGTTGGCTTTGACTCTCTCAAGTTCTTAGATGGTATAACATCTTCAACGCCTCCTTCATATCTTACTTTATAAGTGTCATCGTTTATGTTGTAGCCAAGTATTTCAATAACCACTCCTCGCTTTGCTTCGTCAATGGTTTCAGCAAGTTTGCCATTATTACTTTCGACTAATTTGTGACGAGGGTAAAACGCAATAGAGTCGTCAGCAGCTTTTATAAGATATCCATTACCTTGCGTAGAGTCTACGATATAATAGTTTCTACTTAACCTTAAACGTTTCTTTGTCAACGGCTTGTCGTCAAGAACTACACGAACTTTTGTACCAGAAATGAGGGTAAATTGTGTTGAATTTCTGATATTTTGTGTTTGGCTTCGTTGCTTTTGTATATACTTTTCTTCTTGTTGTTGTGTCATTGAATTTGGTGTATGCCCTGTTGTAGAATGTGTTGAGGAATTGTAAACTTCGATGAAATGTTTCATTGTTTCTTCGGTAAAGTCTCGCTCTTGATTTAAATCTCTGAGCGTTCTTATGAAGCGGTTTATGATGCCGAGTATGTTATGGTTATGGTCTTCAGTAGTGTAGTGAGTTATGTTATGCTTAATGAGAAAATCTGTGATTTCATTGCTGAGGTATGCACTGTCTTGGTCTGATGTTAAAGTACTTGGGCTATGTTCTGCTACAAACTTTTGTAAAACTCTTAACACTTCACGAGTTCCTTTATTTTTCATTGGATATGCATATGCTTTGCGAGTGTTAACATTAATGAAGATGAGGAATGGTTTATGTCCTCCTTTTCTGCTTTGAATGAGAGTGTCAAATTGGTATGCGTCAGGAGTGTTGGAGTAAATTGGTAAAAAGTAGTCGTAAGGGTTTATTTTTGTTTGATGTACAACATTTTTGTCAAAGAACCTTTTCACTTCAGCTCTGTTAGTAAATCCCCAACTTTTTGCTGCTTCATTGAACTTCTTAAATGACCTCCATGGATGTTGTTCGAATACTTCTTTCAAGCTCATTTATGTAAAGTTAAAGATTTTATTCTAGGCTCAAGCGCGTTCATTGAACGCGGTACCATGCGAATACAGTCATAAATGGTGGCATATAATCTTCACCCGAGCCTGTTGGATTTGTTGTGAAAGTGTGTGAATGATTTCCTGTGGTTCCACAGAAAATACCTGCGCTTGAATCTACTGGGTCGCTTGAAATATCATATCTATCCATTCCCTGTCTATCCGAACCTGCTGCAAGATTTCTATAACCTCTTTTTGTTATTGAATGTGAATGATTACCTGTTGTGTTTGTAGTTCCCGTATGAGTGTGCGGTGGAAGGTTTGCTTCTTTAATTTTCTTCGAACCCCCTGTTTGCTTTGAAGAGTTAGCACAGTATAAGAATTTGTCTACAATCTGTTCCCACGTACCAAAACCTAAAACACTTGCTGGATTTGTTGAATTCATTGACGTATAAATAGAGCCAACAGGATATAATGTTTGAAGAATCTGGGCCTTCATTGTTTGAAGTTCATGTTTAACGTTTATAACTTTATTGCCATCTTCAATATTTATATTGTTTGTTATTAAACCATTAGGAAAAGTAGGAGGATAAATTCTTTGTTCTTGTACAGTTGCACCGTTTCTTCCTGTTTTTGTTACTATTTCGATGCATGCTTTAATTTCTTTAATCTTGATTGTTTGAAATTCTTCATGTGTATGGTTCTTGTCGGCTTTTCCATTAAGCGCAGCATTTACTTCCGACTTCTTTGCATAATTTTCATCTACATAAGTTTTGTCAGCTTTCTTATCTAACATTGCTGGTAGTTCATATGCTTCAAAGTTTCTGGCATGATCTTCATATTCCTGCAACTGTTATCTAAATTGTTTAGTGTATCTTTTACGCTTGTACTGGATTCTCTAAAGGTGCACTTGAACCAAGGGTATAGTTCAATATTATGTCGTCTGCTCTAACAGTAGTGAAGGATTCATGTGTATGGTTCTTGTCAGCTTTACTATTTAATGTAGCTTGAAGTTCATTTATATCGGAGATTGTGTTTATGAGATTTCAAAACTTTGTTCATTGCTTCGAGTTCAACTTTGTCAGCTTTACTTTTAATAGCATCTTCAAACGTTATTTTTGCCTTAACTCTCAAAGTAAATCTTGGTTCAACTAATACACCGTTAACATTGAAAGTAGAGGCATAAATTTCACCGGTATAACCAAATGCTTCTGGTGCTTTAGCTACATCATACTGTACAGTACAGCTTATGTCATAACCTTTAGCACGAATGTATTTATATCTTCTTTCATTAACATTTTTTGTCTTCGCTTCATCACTTCGTGTTAAATATCCATGGTAGTCCGTTATAATCTGTTCGTCTGAAGTTGAAGTTATATAATGAACGTGGTTCTTGACTTTATCACTCAGAGCTAAAAGCTCATTTTTGTCTGCTTTTTCGGCTAATTTCTCATTAACATCATTCACTTCTAATTCAACTCTTCCGCCAGAACTCTTATTATCATTAATCTTTTTCATTAATTCGGTAATTACGTCATAAAGACTATATTCTGTTTTCGGTTTTGTAAATAATGAGTCAAAATTTCTTTTCATCATTACATCGCTGACATTAATGATATCACCAATTCCTTTTTCATTTATTCTCTTCATTAATTCTGCAATAATGACGAATATATAATCTGTTAATTTATTCTCTTCATCGAGGGTTATAGAATGTTTTGAAATTGAATCATTAACTCCTCTAAATAAATCAATAACTTCAGGATACACGTTTTTAATGTCTCGAATAACCCGACCAGTATCCTGTTGTTCATGTTCTTCGTTCCCGTCGTTACGTGGTTTTATATCTCTAACCATCATCAACGCAGCCATAACCGGAGGGTTTGTTGCTATCTGTTCGAAAATCCGTCCGTTATGTACGGTATATCTAAATAATTTCTTTGTGTTTGTTAAAACATTTGAAACAAGTCTTTTAAAACCATCTACAAAATTTCCTGTTTCACCTAATGTTCTTGCAGCATTTACAAGCTCACCCATTCCCGCTTTTGACCCCAAAAACGTCCATATTGCATTTATTTCACTCTGTATAGTTGTCCATTCAGCGAAACTAACACCCGCATTCGCTAAGCTGAAAATGAAATTCAGTGGATCGAACTTAATTCCACCTTCTTTTTCAATTTCAACGAACTCACTAACATGAGATTTTAAATATTCTTTCGTTAAAATTGTTTTCCCCGATGTTATGTCATTAACGAAACTATCACCGTCAAAAGTTAACGAATTCAATTTCGTCGTTGATGCTTTTATTTCATACACCGCTTTATCGATAGTTTTTGGCTCACCTTCTTTAGAAGCATATGAAACATTAATGAATGAATTATATGTATTCGTGAATGAGTTAAAATCAATGATTTTCATTAATGACGCCTTTAATGATTCATTTACTGTCGAATCCCTTAAAGCAATTAATGAACTGTCATTTATGAAAGGTACACTGCAAACCGTCGAGTTTGGATCAAATGCTGTAGTTGGTGCAGGAATATTAATGATATAAGTCATTAAATCATTAAGTGACGTAAATAATGTTGTCGTTTTTGATTTAATTTCTTTAGCATCTGTTATATATGGTAATTTTATTTCTGTAGTTTCTGAATTAAAGATATTCGCTAAAATGTTTTGTAAACTGTTTTGAACAGCTGTGTAAACCGTTGAATCCGGAACTCTTACGATTTCACCGTCCTTAATAAAAGGCATTGCACATGGTGTAGTGCTTGGGTCAAATCTTTTTGGGTTATGATTCAACATATATTCTAATGCTTCATAAACAGACCTATATACGGTTGTATTATCTTTTTCAATAATTTCACCGTCCTTTATAAATGGCATAGTACATGGAGTTAAAATAGGGTCAAACTTTTCATAGTCCTTCCATGTTATGTATTTCTCAGTATTTCCATCAGTGATAACAATATATTTGTCAGTAAGTGTGAGAGAGTATTGACCAAAATATAAACGTTTAGCTCTGTCAGCTTCATACGCATATGCAGCTATACTCATATTTTAATGAGAATAAAATGTTGTTCTATTTGCAAAGTACAGACCCAAACGAATACGGGACAGTAAAGCTACAAACAAACTTAGGTCTACAGAATGAGGCGCTTGCATTCAGAATGGTTGACTTCAATACTATCGCTTCATTCGTTATAACAGATGAAACAGATTTCATGGAGATTGAAATAGATGGAAAGAAGCACGAAATAAGATTTCACAATAATGTAGAATATAAGATGGAAACATTAGCTGGAGTGTTAAATGCTCTCATAAATACTACAATAAACAAGGATAACGAGAAAACTTAATGAATGTTAAACTTATTGCAGGAGTTTTGAAGTTCAGTTATGCGAAGGAGTTTAAGATACCAAGAATGAGTCATAGAGTACAACTTCTTTTGGGTGCATACCATATGACATTTCCTTTGAAAAGTGTTGACAAAACGATTGAGATGAAATCTGTTCCATACGTATGTTATGGTAATTGTTTATACATTGAGTCTAAAATAGCTAATGTCACAGGCATTTCAGGAGTTAATAGTAAAGGTTCAGTAGAATATAAATCCTTC